GCTGAGCAAGCAAAATACACTTCCTACCGGTTTTCTTTCTTTGTCTCTGGTGGCTTGGGGAGTTGGGAGGTGGTGCGTGGTGAGCCAATCGGAATGCTTGACTGACAATTTCATCAGAGTTCGCCAGGGATGCCGGGGGTGATGAATGCACGGCGCAGCTGAGAAAAAGTGTTCGGGGGAGGAGAAGCTGGTCCGGATGCGCGGGAATATGGGGGTGGAGCCAGATCGAATCGAAGCCCAAACACTACTGCGTTTGTAGACCCCCAGAGAGAGACCTCGGACCGGGGAGGGGCTTTTCCAACAAGATGGTTCGATGCTCGCTGACTGAGAACCTGGAGGAGAGAAGCCCTCTCAAGAATAACCCTAGAGAAACATGGCAACACCCAGGGATGGGATGTGAGATACACAGATGGGCGCCAGCGAATGAGGTGCGGAGGACATACCCGCAGTCTGCATACGGGAAGGGTGGTGGTGAGAAGGGGAACAGAACGGCGGCACAGTCTTTTGCGTTAGAGTGCATGCAGAACATGCGATGGCAGCTGCGGCACGGCGGACGCACTTGCGTGTCTGCTTGCTTGCTTGCTTGCTCAGCCGCCCGCCCGCCGTCTGGTGGTGGCCTGTCAGTTCTCAGGAACCGCAGCATCTCTCCCATGCCTCCCATTCGTCGCTGTCCGCGAACGACAGCTCCGGTCCCGTCGGGATGGATTGGGTGATTCATCGACGGCCACGTTCGTTTCAAACGACCCCAGGCCAGGTACGAGAAACTAACAAACTCTCTCGTTCTCAGGCCAGGAACAGGCACAGGAATAGGAACGGACCATCCACGAGTCCGCTTGCGAAAGGCGATAAGGCCAAAAATTCGGTCTGACTGAGCCCCCGTTTCGCCGCCTGCGTGTGCGGTTTTTGCCCTCCTGCCGTTAGCAGCCTAGCCCGAGGCGAGACGAACTCTCATCGTGCCATGGCGCTGCGTGGCGCCGCTCCATCTTCAGGAACCATTTTCGTGCATGCGTGTGTGTGGTCTCTTCCTGCCAGAGAAATAAAGCCATTTGTGCGGCAGCCAAGGACTCCGCAGCATGATCAATTGGATACACTCGCCCGTGTGCCTGTGGACGTAAACGGCTGATGAGGACAGCGTGGGTTTGCCCTTCTCTGGCTTAGACCGGTGGCGGCTTTTGTGTTCGTTTTGGCTTAGGGGATGAGGAGGAGGGGATCCTCTCAGCATCCGCCAATCCCAATGGAGGCTGAAGGATGGTGATGGTTTTCCGTTGAGGCGATCTTGAGCGTGAGGCGTTCAGCCACTCAGCATCAGCCAGCTGCGGCAGTGGCTTGGTGGTGGTGCTCTTTTCCCCCTCCCGCTAGAGAGCCGTTGTATTTCTCTGACAGGGCTCAGGGTGGCATCTTTCAAGGGCGCGGGAGTATCCCGTATCAGGAGACTTGAAGCAGAGACATTGCCCTTTTTTGAAGGGAGCGTTTCGAGAGATGGAAGAGGAAATGGGGGCAAGGGCAGATCTTGGCTCTCTCGTCTGATCTTCCAGATTTGTTATTGAAGGGGTTCCAAGAGGCAAGCATTCGGTTAACAAAGATCTTCGATGGGAGAGTGCATGAGATGAGGGAATTGCGGAGGGGGTAAAAAAGGGTTCACTGATTGACAAGCGAAGGAGGCAAAGCTGGGGGACAAGATATCAGGGAACCGCCGCGAAGATGATCAGCAGGAGCGCTGATCAGCCACACACACACCATCCACCTGCTCCCAAGCGAAACAGATAACCCGACCAAGGGAGGGGTTTGAGGGGGGCAGATCGATGACAGCCAACCAAAGCGTCAATCGTTGTCGAAATATCCCCTCTTGTGGCAGCGTGGCAGCATGGCGGCTCCTTTGCGAGTAACACGAGGTGAGTGAGTGAGTGGATGAGATACTGAGAGGCACGCCACACCCCTCCTGTTTGGTTCTCTCGAGGGTGTGGTTAGGTCATCAATTTGGCCGCCGGAAGGGACTACGCGTGTAAGACAGGAACAGGAAGACACCGGTAATAGCTGGGAAAGCAGAGACACGCAACCGTGATGACAAGACGACGCAGCCATCCTCTCGCCGTGCAATGAGAGTACGTAACCCCAAGTAGCGCTCCCAAAGTGAGGTACCCAAGTCTCACTAAAGTGAGTGTGGTTGTCTGACTGTATCTGCGACGACGACAGCAAAGACGAACATCAGACACACATTTTTTTTAATCGCGATCTGCAAGATGAGATGCAGATGGCGAAGAAAGAAGGACGAAGACAGCGACAAGATGAAACACACGGCCTCGCGCCTGTGGAACGTATCTGAAGCCGTAGCGTGCCGCGGTTTTGTTGTATTGTACGTACTGCTGGGATTCGCTGCACTTTGTTTTGTAGATTGTCACCATGATGCGCGGCGAGAGAAGGTTCAAGGTTAGTTATCAAAGCGAGGAAGAAACATCAGACGGTCTGTTGATGATGCTTGTTCAGACGAATTGACCGGATGACGTATCCCGAAGGGGGGAGGACCCAACGTTGCGCCCGTCCGTCCCGGGGCGGTCGTCGTTTGGGCCGCTCTCCGCCAGTGCACCGGCCAGGGCGGATCTTCTGTCAGTGGCTTTTTAGTTTCCATGCTGAGTGATGATGGGCTTCTTCCAGCAATGTTCTTCTCGCCGTCAGATCATCATCGGCAGCAGAACCCTTGATTTGCGCATTGAGATAGATACCCACATGGGTACGTGTGATGCCGATGTGTGTATATGCCCGGGTACGTAGTGATAGCGGGCGCGGCATCCCTTCCAGACTGAGGGGGAAACAGCGAGAGGGATGGATGCGTGGATGAGGATGGAAGGCGAGGAGGAAGAATGTGCAGAATCGGGAAAATGAGCTGCTGGAGGTCGCTGCCGAACTTCAGGGTAGGTTCCAGGGTGTGGTGGTGTCCGCCCGGGATGGAGAGGGGCTGCTTGCTCGGGTTTGGATGATGATGATGATGATGGATGATGGAAGATGGAAGATGCAAGGCCAGCAACATGCAAAAGACAGCCACACCCTGGAAGCGAACCGGGAAGAGAGCTGCCCGAAGCCTGGGAGCCCTGTCCCTACACTGCCTTGCTGGCCCCCTGTCCCTGCCTTTCGATAGGTCGTCAGCCTGGTCAAGCCAACCGCCAATCCTTTTGCTGCTTCCCAGAAGTTTTTTGTTTCTCGTGACTCCGTTTTGCTGTGCACTTTCTATTTTCATGTTTGGCCGGGCTCTCGTTTCTTATTCCCCCATTCTTTCTCTTCATACGAGGCTCAAGGGAGAGGAGGAACGGATCACTGACTGGCAGACGGGTACAGAGAGAGAGACCAACAGACACAAACAACACGAAGCTACCTAGACTAGTGCCGCCTCACCCGAAGAGGAAGATGCAAATTTGACATGCTTCCATCTTTGCCCAAAAGCTGTCCGGGGGACCTGGACAGGCGCATCCGCAGTTTCCAGGTGGAATTGGAATGACGAACCTTTTCTTCTTCGGCCTCACAGTTCTCCGAGCGAGGTAGTTGGGTTGGTTTTTTGGGCTCGTCGGGCTTCCACGGGTGATTGATTGATCGTGTGAGTAATCAATTGAGCAATCAAACAAAGTATTCTGCTGTCTGCCCAGCGCCGTGGGGTTTGCATTTCAAGCCGCGCCGCGGTGGTGAGCAATAGACACCCACGCCGGCCGGGCCCCAAGGCGCGGCATTCACGGGTCCGTTCTCGATCTTGCATCGCATCGACATCGAATCTCTCTCTCTCGTTCTACAGATACGGATACCATCATCGTCCCGCCCCAGTGGGCACAGCATCAGCATAGACTCATCATCTTGCTGCGGATAGGCATGCCACCCTCCTCCTCCTCCTCCATGATCACCGATTGGGGAGTTTGCCTGGCCTCATCTCATCCTCGTCCCATCGGCATGCGCCTGATCCTTTCGCTGGTCATTCCGCCCCTCCGCTTCTCTCCCTCTCCATCAAGTCAAGCATAGTCACCCGTCAGGTCCCTAAGAATTCCTCAACCTTCTGTCGCGACACGCACGACGCTGCTGCAAGGCACCGTTCTCATTCCTCATGCTTCGCCTTAGCTCCATTCTGGGCAGCGTGAACCCCCCACACCCTTGCTCAGCTGCACCCCGTCCCGTGAACGCGGCGAGAGCGAAGACGAGAAAAAGAGAGAGAGAGGGTACTCTAGGTACCACCGCCGGTTCCCATACGTACCGCTCGTTGTAGTGTGGCTCACACACACGCACACCACAACCTTCACTAGCTTCCCTGCCTGTTCTCGTCTATCCTTCTTTCAGCCCAGATCGTCAGGGACCTTGGCCCGCGTGCGCTGCCAGTCCACTTTGGCGGTCCTGCGGTGTGCGTGTGAGCGTGTGCAGTGTGTGCAGTGCTAGCTAAGCTGCCCATGTCTCTCCATTGCTGTTTCCTGCTCGATGCTCCGCTGCCGGTTTGCTCATCCCATCCCCACGCTTGGCAGGCAGATGCGTTGTGGCTTTTGGCCGCCCCAGAATGCCTGCTTTCGTCCATCATCGAGTTTTATAATAAGACCCGATGCCCGCTTTCGTTTCCTCAACCTCATGCCCTGTCCCGGTCTGTCCCCCCCTCTGATCATCCTCAACCAACTCCCGACCCCTGTCACACACTCACACAAACCACACTCCTTGAACAACTTTCAAACTTATTACATGCCCTGTGTGGTATAACTCTGTGGTAACATATCATATCCACCCACCCGTCCACGGCTTTGCAGCAGCACTCATAAGCCTCACTCTCAACCTTTCTTCTTCCCATCACCGGGTGTTTCCTTCTCTCACCTCACGATATATATCACATCCCGACAGTCCGGATCAGGAACAGCGGGAAGGGAAACAAGGGCGACTACATCTCGCATCTATATATAACAACACCCGCCCACGCACGACTGCCAACGACATTTGGCTCACCATCCTCTACGGGTATCACCACTTACACACACACAACCCACACAATGTTCGGCTCAACACCATCACCATCATCCTCAAGAAAGGGCAAATGCCCCCGCGAGGCAATGCACACCCGCAAGCCCTCCCTCTCCAACTCCATCTCCAGCAACGACTCCTCCTCGACACAATCAACCCGCTCCTCAGGCAGCACAATCCGCCACACCCGCAGGCTCGACTTCGACCCCCTCTCGCTGCACCCGACCTTCCAACCACCACCAGGCCGCCTCTTCGAGCGCCCCCTCATCCACAACTCCCAGGCCATCGAAGACGCCGTCCTCGACTCCTACTTCTCCTCCCAGGAGGCCGCCCTCGCGGAACACCAGCAAAAGACCAAGGCCGCCTTCGCCGCCGCCGTGCCCAGCATGCCCCAGCCGCCCGTCGACTCCCCGCGCACCCCGATCGACCAGCAGCGCTCCCGCGAGCACGCCGCCGAGGGCGACGACTACTTCCTCTTCAAGGTGCAGCAGCACATCGCCGCTACGCGCCCGCAGCTGCCGCGCTCCCACTGGTCCGAGTCCACCGTCCAGACGCTCGACATGTCCTCGCCCGATGAGGAGGACGACGACGTCGACGCCGACGGGGACGGCAGCATCGTCGACGAGGAGCGCCCCGTAAGAGAGTCTCGGTGGCAGAACTTTTCCCACAAGAGGAACTCGCCGCCCAAGCGCCCGCAGATGAAGTCCCTGGACAGCGTGGAGGACTTCCTCAAGCGCGGCGGGTGGAAGAGGCGGGGCATCGTCTTCGACGGCGAGAGCACCCGGCATTCCGACCCCAGCTTGTTCTAAAGTTTTCATCTTTACCTTACTCAACCCATCACTCAACACTACCACCACTCACTTTTATTTGTTATTCTTTTGATTTGTCTGCTCGGTACTTCGGAAGCGGGAAGGGGAAAAAAACGGCGATTGCTTCATTCGGCTGTCTTTTTTTTATATAACGCCTTTACGATACAACACTAGCGGGCGTTGACTTTGGTCTTTTTTCTTCTCTTTGTCCAGCAAGCCTTCTTCTGTATTGGTTCTTCTTCTTATTCCCCCTTCTGGATTACCAGATTCATCCACTCAGATTTTGGGTTCTTCACTGCTGTAAGACTACTACCGCTGCTTCAGAACTTTTTTTTTTTTTTTTTTGTTTACCGGGGGGTCTGAGAGCCCGAAGGGACCAAAAACGGACGGTCTGGGGGTCCAAGGTCTGGCCGTTACGTCATTTTTTGCGCATACACGAAAAAGTGGATTGCGTCCGTTGCTGTGCACGGGCAACTGTCAACCAGGGGGTCCCAGTAGATGGGAGCAAGAACTGGAATACGCCCGCCGGGATATGCTTCGAGATGGGCAATGTAGTGCCAAGCACCGTCAGGCGTGCTCACAATGGCGCCTTGATGGGGGTTGCCGGCGCCAGGAACGGGATTTCCGTT